CCGCCTGCCCAACAGCTGCCGCTGTCCGTTTTTGACAACATGTGTTGCTGGGCATCGCACCAATTTCCTCCGTACCCATTTCGGGCGTCCAAAGACGCGCAATGGGGGCGCGATGCATGGACGGGGCAGCGAGCGCTGCCAAAAAAGGTGCCCTTGAGGGCCCCCGAAGTGGCCGTTCAGGGCCCAGGAATGGCCGATCAGGGCCCGGAAAGGACACTTTTCTCCCCCCCCCATTGATCGCCCCCCCGTCAATTCGCGCCCACGGAGGCGGTGGCGGCGGCGGCGAGGACGGCGACCACGAGGACGAGTTCTACAACGACGACGGCGGCGGCGGCGGCGGTGGCGACGGCAGCGGCGTGGGCGAGAAGGACGAGGAGGACAGCGAGGACAAGGAGGCGGAGGAGAGGAGCGGGAAAGAGGGCGGCGGAGGAGCGGGGAAAAGGAGCTGGCGGACGACTGGGAAGACTACGACGGCGGCGACGGCGGCGCCGGCGACGCCGACGCCGGCACCGGCGCCGCCGACGACGGGGGAATCCCCCGTCGTCGTCGGCGAGGTCTTCTGAAGGTTCTTGGCGAGGTTTGTGCAGGGGTCCCTTTATGGTCTTTACATGTTTTTTGCGGGGTGACTGCAGGGTTCTCTGCAAGGTCTCTGTACGGGGACCTTCGCAGGGGTCGTCGCATGTTTTGGCACTGTGGGGCGGGGGGCGCCGCGTGCGACCGTTCGTTCGAGCGGCCGCGCGGCTGCTCCGCGGAAGTCTGGCTTGAGCAAAGCAATTTGCGAAGACTCAGTCTTTGTCCAATGCCGGTTCTTGGCTCGACTTGCTCCCCGAGGGCCCCCGATTTTGGGGGCACCTTCTCCTGGGGGCACCTCTAGCAACTCCCGAGGGACGCCGCCCAGAGCCAGGCGTGCCTGGACGCAGTCCTGGCGAAGCGCCTGGACGCGGCCGAGGCAGCTGGCGAGGTACGGGGGGCCGCCGGCCTGCACGGAGTGCCCTGGCGAGAGGCGCTGCGCCTCCTCGCCGGCGGCGGCGGCGGCGGCTGCGCCGAGTCAGAAGAGGGCGAGTTTGCTGATGTTTCAACTTACTTCAGCCTTGATCACCAGAAAGAATTTCGAGCACCAAGAAAGGACCGAAACCTGAGGGTTTCCACGTGTCGGGCCCTGGGAGGCGATGCTCGTGCGACACTGTTTCGATACCTGTCTGGGTGCTCGAGTTATATCTGGGATGTGGTCCTCAAGTACGATGGGAGCCACATAAGCCGAGTCGAGACAGCGGAGGTTGGCCTTCGGGGGGGGCCCTCGCCGCCATGGCTGGACGCAGCGCGGAAGGCTGCTGCGTGAGGGCCGCAGGAGGGGTCCAGGCACCGATTCGGAGCCGCCGTTGTCTCGACTCGGCCTGCTCCGAGCGACGGCGACGGCGTGTCGGATGTCCCTGAGGGGGCGCATCTGGAGGTCTGAGAAGCGGCTTGAAAAAGCGGCCCGGGCAAACCCCGGAAGGGATCCAGGGCCCAATATTAAACAGATCGTGGCCGACGGCGCTGCGTTCTCTGCTGCTGCCCGTCCGCCATGTGATGTTCTACTCTCCCATGCTTCCGACAGTCTGGTTCCAGCATGTCTCGTTTTTTTTAGTTGTTCCTCCTCCTCCTCCTCCTCCTCCCTTCTCCGTATTGTTCCGCGCCCGCTCCATGTTCCCCTCCTCCGCAACCCCAAGACGGGTGAACGGGTCGCGCCGCTCCTCTTCTCACCGTTGGAGCCGCCTGGCGAGGAGGCGGCCGGCTCCAGCTCGGCACAGTAGCGTGCGTGCGTGCATGTTCGTTGTGCGTCTGGGGCTGTTCGCGCACAGCGTTGTTCTATCTTCGATCTTGGGTTGCCTCTGCAGCAGGTGTGGTTGAAGTTTTGCTTACCGCAGTGGCTGTGATTGTGCAGCACGCGCGTGATCGTATGTCCACATTTGCGTTGTTCACATCGGGCGTTCACGAATCGTTTGCGCCTCTTTGACCTTGCTCCAGCATCACCATCGTCATCAGTCGTTCGAGTGGGATGATATTTCCTCGTCTTCTTCTGTGCCCTCGCTGGCTGCTGGCGCTACGGAGGTGGCCCCGAAGAGGAAGAAGAAGAATCGGCGCAAGAAGAATAAGAAGAAGGTGAGTTCGCATGTGACCGAGCCCGGTCCGGAGCAGCTGCAGGCTTCTGGCGCTCCTCCGGACGCGATGCCTTCCATTTTTGAGGCCTCCCGTGAGGACCTCGCCACGGACATCCAGTCTGGAGTTTTTTCACAAGATGCGAAAGAGTTGGACGACACTGACGTTGCCTTGCTGGGCCGCTTCGCTGACGGCGAAGCTGTGCTCTCGGAGTTGCAGCAGCAGCCGTCGCTGAGGGCACCGGCGTTGGAGGTCGCCTCTCGGCTGATGGCAGCAGGTGCGAATTCGAATGTTGCTTTCCTGCCAATTGTGCAGGGCCTTGCGACGCAGCAGACATGATGTCCACTCTGGGGTTTTTATCTTAGCAAATGCCAGACTTAGTGATACCCTGGCTTTTATGCACTTTCATATTTTCCTGCTTGCCAATCTCTACGGAAGCTTGTCACAGCAGCTGCCTACAGGAAAAAGAAAAAATACAGGAAAAAATCACCATCGCCATCAGCAGCAGCATCATCATCATCAGCATCATCAGCACCATCATAATCAGCATCATTATCATCAGCAGCAGCATCATGATCAGAATCACAATCCTCATCGGCATAACCAGCATCATCAGCATCAGTATCAGCAGCAGCAGCATCCCCCTCCTCCTCCTCCTCCTCCTCCTCATCCTCCTGGCCGCCCCCCTGAATCCTCCTCTCCATGCTCCCCCTCCGCCCTCCTCCTCTTCCCCCCCCCCCCCACCGCCATCATTCCAACCCTCATGCTCATAAGTCGTATCATTAATATGTCACTCCTCCTCCTCCTCATGCTCCTCCTCATGCTCCTCCTCCTCCTCGTATCCTCCGATCCTCCTCATCATCTTATCCGTCTCCTCCTTATCCTCCTTATGTCCCTATGCCATCCAATTGGCCTATCCTTATCATCATCATCAGCATCATCATCATCATCATCAGCAGCAGCATCATCAGCAGCAGCACCATCATCGTTATCATCATCATCATCATCAGCATCATTAGCATCATCATAATCATCATCGTCATCTGCATCTGCATCATCAGCAGCAGCAGCAGCATCATCATCAGCATCATCATCCGCCTCCGCCTCCTCTTCCTCCATCTCCTCCTCCTTCGCCTCATCCTCCTCCTCATCCTCCTTCTCCTCCTCCTCGTCATCATCGTCCTCCTCATCATCCCTCATCCTCCTCATCCTCATCCTCTCCCTCCGCCTCCTCTCCCTTCTCATCAATTCCTTCTCCTTATAGGGAACTCATCCCTGTCGCACCCCGAGGCCAGTTTTTAGAGCGGGCTGGGCGTTTCGCCTGAGATTTCCTCACCACTCATGGCCCTGAGCTTAACAAGTGACAACAGCTTCACAAATGGATGGCGGGTCGTTTTCAAAATGTGGCTCTCGCCTCAGCGCCGCGCAAGAGTTTCACGGATTGAGGGCGGGTCGTTTTCAAAATGTGGTTCTCGCTTTAGTGCCGCGCACATTCGTTTTCAACATTTGCACGAGCTTCACGGATTGAGGGCGGGTGGTTTTCAAAATGTGGTTCTCGCTTTGGCGCCGCTCGCATTCGTTTAAAACAGTTGCAAGAGTGTCACGGGTTGAGGGCGGGTCGGTTTCACATTGTGGCTCGCGCTGTAGCGCCGCGCACATTCGTTTTGAAAGTTCGCACGAGCTTCACGGAGTGAGGGCGGGTCGTGTTCAAAATGTGGTTCTCGTCTTAGCGCCGCGTACATTCGTTTTAAACATTCGCAAGAGTTTCACGGATTGAAGGCGGGTCGTGTTCAGAATGTGGTTCTCGTTTTAGTGCCGCGCACATTCGTTTTAATAGTTTGCAAGAGCTACACGGATTGAGGGTGGGTCTTTCTCACAAGGTGGTTCTCGCCATAGTGCCGCGCACATTCGTTTTAAGGATTTGCATGAGTTTCACGGTCCCCATGATCAACGCATTAGAAATGGTGTTTTGGAAGGGTTCAAAATTACGCGGGCGCAACAGTTATGTTGATTCGTTGTGTTGAATTCCCCAAAATGGTATTCTGACACCACGATCCTGGATCGTCAAGGCGCAGCAGTCAGGTTGATACGTGGCGTTGACATCTCAAAAACAATGTGTTGACACGCTACAGGGTACTCAAACTAACGTCGTCCAACGAGGCAGTTCCCTCAATGGAAATGAACCGCTGTAGGGGGCTGCGAAGAGGGAGCTTGGAGGGAAGGTTAGTTCCAACATCGCTGATGACTCTTAGGTTTCCACTCGTCCTCCTCCTCCTCCTCATGATCCTCCTCCTCCTCCGCCTTCCTCCGCCCTCCTCCTCCTTCTCCTCCGTCTTCTCCTCCCACTCATCTTCCTCATCCTCCTCGTCCTCCTCCTCCCTACTATTCCTCTTCCTTTTCATGCGCCTCCTCCTCCTCCGTCGCCTCCGCGCGTCCTCCTCTATTCCTCCTTCTATCCTCCTCCTCCTCATCCTCCTCCCCCTCCTCCTCCTTTTCATCATCAGCATCAGCATCATTATCCTCATCCTCATCCTCCTCGTCGTCATACCCCTCCTCATCCACCACGTCCTCATCCTTCGCATCTTCCTTCTCCTCCTCCTCCTCATCCACCACATTCTCATCCTCCGCCTCTTCCTCCGCCGCCTCCTCCTACGTTTCCTCCTCTCCTCCTCGTCTGTTTCCTCTCCATCCGCCTCCTCCGCTTCCTCCTCCTCCTCCGCATCCTCCTTATCCCCCCCGTCTCCGCTTTCTCCTCCTCCTCATCTTCATCCTCCTCCTCCTCCTCCCCCTCCCCCTCCCCCCTCCTCATCGCCTCATCCTCCTCCTCCTCATCATCGTCCTCCTCCTCCTCCTCCTCCTCCTCCTCTTCCTCCTCCTCATCATCATGAGCAGCTTCATCATCATTCCCTCCCCATCCGTAGATTCATCCTCCCTCTCGTGAACGTCTTCCTAACACCCTCCTCATCATGTCTTTATCCTCCTCGTATCCTGCTCCTATCATCCCCCTCCTCCTCCTCCTCGTCCTCCTGCTCCTCCTCGTCGTCCGCCTCCTCCTCCGCCTCTTCCTCCTCCTCATCGTCATCCTCATCTTCCTCTCCTCCCTCTTCTCCTCCGAATATCATCCTCCTCCTCCTCCTCCTCCCCCTCCTCATCGGCAGCCTCATCCTCATCATCATTGTCATCCTCCTCCGCATCGTCCTCCTCATCCTCCTCATCGTTCTCCCCATGATCCCCATCATCTTCCTCATCATGCTTATGTTCCTCCTCCTCCTCCTCCCCCCCCTCCTTCTCCTCCTCCTCCTCCTACTCCTCCTCCTCTTACTCCTCCTCCTCCTTTCCACCTCCTCGTCATCCTCTTCCATCTTCTCATCCCTCCTCCTCCTCATCCTCCTCCTTCTCCTCCTTCTGTTCATCCTCCTCATCCTTCTCCGTCTCGCCCTTGTCATCCGCCTAACCTCCTCCGATCCTCTTTCTATCGTCATAGTATCCTTTTCCTCCTCCTCTTCCTCCTTCTCATCTTCCTCATCATCCTCATCATGATCAGCATCATCCTCATCAGCATCATCAGCATCAGCATCAGCATCAGCATCAGCATCATCATCAGCAGCATCAGCATCCGCCTACGCCTACGCCTCCTCAGCCTCCTCCTCTCCTCCTTCTCCTCATCCGCCTCCTTCTCCTCCTCCTCATCCTTATCCTTCTGCGATCCTTCTGCCATCATCCCCATCTGCCTCATCGCCAGCCGCATCTGCTTCATGACTGCCATCACCCTCCGCCTCGGCATCCGTTCGTCCCCCCTCCTCTTGTGCCTCTTCTGCCTCCGCCCCTCCTCATCCCTTTCCCTACCTCCCTCTCATCTTCTGCTCCTCATCCTCCTCCTTCCGGCGCTTTCCCTACCTCCCTCTCATCTTCTGCTCCTCATCCTCCTCCTTCCGGCGGCGAGCACAGGGGGGAAGTGAGAGTGGGCCAGCCTTCTCAAAAGGCAGCGGTGCTTCTCAGCAGCCTTCGCGCTTTCTGTGATGCCGTATGTGGCCTCGGGGAAGGTTGACATGGTGTCTCAGAAGGCGCGAGTCGGGGGCAACGCTAGGGGGGGTAGGCATAGGGGGGGAACGCATCGATTCCCAATCGCCCATTGATCGCCGATAGGGACCCGATAACCCCACCCCGCCCAGAAAGGTGCGGATTCACTATCGAGGGCTTATTCCCGATCTATCGACGATGTATCGCCGATTCCAGGTCGACGCATCCCCCCCCATTGCCTATCCCCCCCAATCGTTGCCCCTCAACAAGGGCTTTTGAGAAGCTCCGCCGGCTTCTGAGAAGGCCCGTTCTCTCCCACTTCCGCCATGAGTTCGCCACCGATCCTATTCCCGCGGGAGGTGCCAGTGTGTTGCCTCAACGATGTTCTCCTGAGGGACGTCGGCGGACGCATCGCAGGATCGGACCGCTGGCCGCTGCTGATCGACCCGAGCGACTGCGGCAAGAAGTTCCTCGCCTACGCCGGCTGCTCCGTCCTGAACTTCTGGCGCCACGAGGCGTCGTTCCTCCCATTCTGGCTTGCCCGCGTCCGCATCATCCGTCTCTTCATTCTCGTCCTCCCTCCCTCCCTCGCCATCCTGTTCCTCTCTTCACCTCCATCCACAACTCTGCCCTGGGCGTCTCCAGCTCCACCCGCTCCACCTGATCCCGTCTCCTTATCAGTGTATACTCCTACTCTGCCAGAAAAAAAACAGCCGACAGCCGACCAAGCTGGGACCTCCCATCCTACCTGGCAAACACCACACAACGACGGCACTCTCGCCCTCAGGAAGGCGTGGCAGGACTGGGACGGGGCGCACGTCCCTCCCGAGAGGTCGAAGTGCCGCTCTCGACCCGGCGCCGTGGACAAGTGGAGCTCCCGCTTGGGTGCGGCGCAGCTTTTTCGCACGCAACTTCCGCCGACGAGCGAACGGACGAAAATGTCGTCCCTGCACCGGCGCCCCGCAGAGTTCGCCGAAGGTGGCGCTCCCGCCTCGGCGAGGGAAGGGTACCGTAATTGATGCCGCTTCCTACTCTGCTTTCCCCCCCCTTCGGTGCCCTGCGGGGTGGGGGCCCCTGGGGAGCGCCATCGGGGCCCAGGGTGGGAGGGAGGGCAGAAGCGCGGAGCGGGGGAGGGAGGGTGGAGCATGGGGAGGGAGCATGGGGAGGGAGAGGGGGAGGAGGAGGGGGAGGAGGAGGGGGAGGAGGAGGAGGAGGAGGAGGAGGAGGAGGAGGAGGAGGAGGAGGAGGAGGAGGGAGCCCCTTGCGCCTTGGCAGCCCCCATGGGGTCTCCTTGGGGGGGGCCTCTTGAGGGGGGGCCCACCCAGCGAGGACATGGACGCGGGCCATGTGCGGACGGCCCTGCTCGCCATGATCCGCGGTGGCGGCGTCCTGGCCGTCGACTTGTGCTGCTTCGCTGGGGGAGCTCTCGGGGGGGGGGGGGGGGGGCAGCTGGAGCCTTCGGACGTCAGCGAGGAGGGAGGGAAGAGGAGGAGGAGGAGGAGGAGGAGGAGGAGGAGGAGGAGCAGGAAGAACAAGAAGAAGGAGGAGGAGGAGCAGGAAGAACAAGAAGGAGGAGGAGGAGGAGGAGCGAGGAGGAGGAGGAGGGAGGAGGAGGAGGAAGGAGGCGGAGGAGGAGGGAGAGGAGGAGGTTTGGTAAGAATTGTATGCATTTCTCGAGTTACGCGTGTCATCCTTGCGCACGGACCATGCGCAGAGTTCCAATTTCAAAGGATGATCCCCGACGGGAATTTGGGTACCCCTCCTGCCGCCTCTCCGTCCTGGCGCGTGCCCAGGTACAGTCGGACCGAGGTAAAATATTGAGGTCAGTTTGGGGAGGGTACCCTGATGTTTTTCGTGCTTGTCGGATGTTGTGTATTCGCTTCGCTCATTCCGCCAGCCCAATTCGCATCAAGGTGGTTGCGTGTTGGTTGGTGTGCTCGCACCCATGGAGTATGGTAGGGCAGGCAGGACGATCCTCGAGGAGATCTTTGGAGATGTGGCTCGCACTCTCTCGAAGAGAGCCGATCGACTGCCCCAGAGGTTAGCAAGATGGCTCAAGAGAGCTCCAGCAGAGTCGCGAGACGTACCTGGGTTGTGGGTCAGAGTCCTCGTGGATGCTTCTTGGGGTATCTTGCAGAGGGCCCTCGGAAGCCTCTGGGGGAAAGTTTTGAGGCCTCTGGGGAGGCTCGTGGAAGCTTCTTAGAGGCCTCTTGGGGCTTCCTGGGGACCTTTTGGGGGGTCTTGGGAGCCTGTTTGGGGCCCTATCGGGGGCCATTGGGGACATCTTGGGGGGGTTTCTTGAAGGGCTCTGGGGGCTTCCTGGGCGCCTCTTGGGGCCGAAGAGTCCAAATTTCCGTTCGTGTTCCTGCGGGCTCTTCTTGGGGTCCGTCTTGGGGCGTTTTTCGGTTGTCCTGGAGGCCTCCTGGAGGCCGTCTTGGCGCCCGCTGGGGCCGTGCCGGGGCGTTCTCAGAGGCCAGCTTCGGCCGTCCCTGGAATGTCACAGCGCCCGGTCACGGATCGCAGTGCCATCCTCAGGTGTAGAATTCGTCGCCCCAGGTTTCCCAAGGAGTAGTAGGTCACGGCAGCTAGTCTGGCATAAGCATCGGTAACGAAAGGAAGAAAGACAGACGGCGTCGAGGTCGACTTGCCCCTTTGTACAGTCAACGCGCATAGTAAGGACAAACGATTTTTTCAAGGGTACCCTTGGGTCCTTGCCTGCCTCAGCCTCTGCGGCCCGTCCCTAGCAATGTTCGCAGGTCAGTTTCTCAGGTTCCCTGGGGGTTTGGCCGCCTGCCGCCCAGAATACTTCAACTTCGGCCTCCAAGGGTCTTGCGTCCTTACCACGCGTCCTTACTATACGTTTTCGCTGTACTCAGTTTGGGTAGCTTGGAGGAGTGTCGCGTGACCTCCTCGCGGAGCCCTTCGACCAGGTCCGTGCTGGCCTCTTCGACGACCTGGCCAGTCGCGCGCTCCTGGCGACCCCAAAGGCAGGGAGAGAGGAGCAGCTGCTCATATAACCGCGAGTTGAGACAACGGCAGCTGGCCTTCGGGGGAGGGGCCCTCGTCGCCACGGCTGGACGCAGCGCGGAACACTGGTGCGTTTGGACCGCGGGAGGGGTCTCGGGACCGATTTTGAATTGCCGTTGTCTCAAGTCGCATTGTTCCGACAGGAGCAGCAGCGGCAATTCTCCTCCTTTCTCTCTCGCCCAACACCGCCCTCCAGACAACGGCAGTTGACCTTCTGGGGGGGGGGGGAGGGGGCTTCATTGCCACGGCGGAACTCGCCCCCCTCTTGAGCCGTCGCCTCGGGACTCACGAGGACGAGAGCTCCTCCTCCTCCTCCTCCTGCTCCTCCTCCTCCTGCTCCTCCTCCTCCTCCTCTTCCTCCTCCTCCTCCTCCTCTCCTCCTGCTCCTCCTCCTCCTCCCCTCCTCGTCCTCCTCCTCGTTGTCCTCCGCGCTTTCGACCCCGACAGGGCGAGCACTGGCCCCTCTTCCGCAGGCTGGTCCGCGGCGAGGAGGCGGCCTCGTTCGGCCTCGAGCATTTCGACGACGGCCGCACTGCGAGGCTCGTCGTCCTCGTCGTCGTAGGATCGTAGGAAGGGGAGGAGGAAGGAGGAGGAAGGAGGAGGACGAGGAGGAGGAGGAGGAGGAGCGCGAGTTGAGACACCAGCAGTTGGCCTTCGGGGGGTGGGGGGGGGGGCCTCGTCGCCACGGTTGGACGCAGCTCGGAACATTGGTGCGTTTAGATCCCGGGAGGAGATGGGGCGGAGGCAGGGGGTGAAGGAGGAAAGGGAGGAGGAGGAGGAGGAGGAGGAGGAGGAGGAAAGAGAGAAGGGAGGACAGCAAGGAGGAGGTGAGGAGGAGGAGGAGGAGGAGGAGGAGAAGGGGGAGGGAGCCTCGTTTGGGTTGTCAGCAACGTCGTCGGAGGAGGAGGAAGAGGGAGAAGGGGGAGGGAGGTTCTGGTCGGTCGGCCTCGCCGTCGTCCACGTCATCGGAAAGATACAGGGAGTAGGGGAGGGAGATCCGGTCCGGACCTAGATTCCCAAGTGGCAGTTTTGCAGGAGTTGGCCCATCGTTTGTTATGCAGTTGGGGAGGGAGGGAGGGAGGGAGGGGGCGGCAACGAGGAGGAGGGTGTCGAGTCCCAGAAGTGTAGCTCGCGCTGGCACGAGAGCGCCATTCTGAGTGACCGGAGCAAAGCACCGATCCTGGAATGTGGCCCACGTTGTCAACGCTGCAGCGGGATAACCGAGTCTGAATGATCGAGAACGTCTCGATTGACTTTTCAACCGACCTATGGAAGACCACTGTGTGCCGGCGTGGGAACCAAACAGTAAGTTGTTGCATTCTTGATGGTGCAAAGGTACGTGTTGCAAGCTACGCGGTGCAATATGTGCGATGAAATGTATGTGGTGCATGTTATGCGGTGTCAGTTATGTGACGCAAGTGGGTGTGGTATGCGCAGCTTGTGTACACGCCCGTCGTTGAAAATAGGTATCGTCGAGCTTCCAAATCCCAATCTACCCCAAGCGCCTTCCAACCTCGAGAACCGAGATCGTTTCGCTGTGTTTGGGGGGACTCTTGGGGGGGGCCCAACCGCCTTCCTACCTCATGCTTATGCCTGCTTCCTCCGACCGAGGTGTCGTGCAGAAGCGGCCTCCCAGCGCACGGGGCGCCCACGAGCGGGCACCGGGCGAAAGCTCTGCACGCTCCACCCGGCGCACGAGGCGCTCACCCGAGGTGCCTCTCAGAGAGCGGGCACCAGGCGAGAGCCTCGGCGCGCCCACGCTCGGCACACGACGGCGCCCACGAGGGGCTCCCACGGGCGGCGGAGGGGGCGGAGAATGGAAAGGGAGGACGGCGAGGAGGAGGAGGAAGAAAAGGATCAAGGCGAGGGAGGGAGGGGGGGGGGAGGGGGAGGGGGAGGAGGAGGAGGAGGAGGAGGAGGAGGAGGTGGAGGAGGAGGAGGAGGCGGAGGCGGAGGAGGAGGACGAGATGGCCCCGTCCATTCCACTCCATTCCATTCCCTCCTCCGTCGCCCGTGTCCACTCGTGACTCCTGGTTATAGGAGCCGTTGCAGCTCCGCCGGGGGGAGGAGGCGAAAAGCCGCACCGCCGCGAGGTTCAAGTTTGTCGTCGTCACTTCCACGGACAGTCCACATCAGGACCTGGTGCAGGGCTTCGAGGTGCTGCGAGTAGTGCCGGGCGGCTTCGGCGAGTGATGGCCGCTGATGTCCTTAGCGTTTGCGCCACGTGTTTCGCTCTTGATTCGGAGCTCAATATTGGCCTCCCTCATCGCGATTCTCTTTATCATCTCCCACGTCCTCTTCCCTCGCCGTCCTCCCTCCTCAATCCTCCCCTTCTTCTAGCGGCGCCGTGCGAACAACAAAAAGACACCCCCCGCTCCACTCCATACTGGTCAACTCCACACATCTCGACCCCGACCCAGTCTTATCGTCAAGTGTTCACGGCTGGTCTTAATGCTTCCTCCGTGTGTTTTGCAAGCCTTGTCTTCTCATACGTGTTGTGTGTTACAGCTTATCGGCCGCCGCGCGAGTGGCGGACGAGAAGAAGGATGATGGGGCTACGAAACGAGCAAGATGTGTGCCGAAATGAGGCGGGGCCGCGATGCGACCGTGGCCATTTGGGCCTTCGGTGAAACTCACTATGGGACCACGACACTTGTGAAGGATGTGCCGCAATCGGGCGGGGCCGCCCGCCATGCGACCGTTGCCACAGGGCCCTTCGGTGGAGCTCCCTATGGATGTCGCAGAGAAACGTGTGAGGGCCCTGCCAGTTGAGCCCTTGGTGGAGCTCCCTATGGGGCACGAAACGTGTGGGGGGTGTGTCCACACTGGCAGGGGGACGCTATGCGTGCCGAAATGGGCGGGGGGGGGCCATGCGAACCCTGTCATTTGGGAATTTGTCGGAACTCCCCACGGAGCCACGAACACGAAGTGTGTGAGTGGTGAGCCGAAATTGCCGAAATTGGCGCGGGAACACCATGCGAACAATGTCAATTGGAGCTTTCGGTGGAGTTCCATATGGGGCCAAGGCACGTGTGAGGGTTAAACCGAAGTGGGCCAGTTGGGCCCTCGGTGGAGCTCCCGATGGGGCCACGAAGCGTGTCCGAAAGTGGGCGGGGGGCGCTATGCGAACGCTGCCAATTGGGGGCTTCGGTGGAACTCCCTATGGTGCGCCGGAATTGGGCGGGAGGGCCCCATGCGAGCGCTGCCAGTTGGGGCCTTCTGTGGGGCTCCCTGTGGGGCCACGACACGAGTGAGTGGCGTGCCAGAATTGGGCGGGGGGCGCCATGCGAACCTTGCCAGGTGGGGCCTTCGGTGGAGCTCCCTGTGGGGCTCTGATACGTTTGAGGGGTGTGCAAAGGAGGGGAGGGAGGAAGGAAGGGGAGGAGGGGAGGAGGAAAACGAGGAGTAGGAGGTGGTGAGCGGGGCTGCGGATTCAAGACGAGGACACAACATCACAGGAGGTTGGGAATCGCTCAACGCCTGTCTTGTCTACCTCACTCCCCCTGCTTGGGAGGTGCCTCCGGGGCCTGCCTGCCCTGTCTTTCTCGCTTTCTCGCCCTGCCCCCCCCCCCTCCCCTCCCCGTGCGCTTTCCCTCGCCCTTTCCCCTCTCTTCCCCGCCTTCCACCCCCCCCTGCAGGCTCGCCGATAGGCGTCGTGAAATCAGTGTCCTTGAAGTAACACCTCCCTCTCGTCCTCAGAAATGATGGTCCGTGGATCTCTTTGTTCTTTTCCTGTTACAGCAACGAGTGCAGGGCCCAGCACGCTGTCTCTGCCACTCGCCAGCAAACTCTCTCACAGCTCCGTCCAGAGAGCAAGCCCCAAGGATCGGTCCCAGGGATATGTTCGTGTCGAATATTATGATATTCGGTCTCGGGGTCCTGGCTAGCTCTCTGGAACCAGCAAGTAAAACACGTCAACGCCCAAAAGGCGGCTCAAGGGGCCCCTGAGCCACGACGATTACGGATAGCTGCAATGTGAAACGCGTTTCAAATAAAACACAAAGGGGAAACACAGTTGGATTCACACACCCTCCCTACCCTTCCCTCCCCCGTTTCACCTCCCCCACCACTCTTCCTCCCCCGTCCCCCCCCCTGCCCTCTCGCCCCCTCTCCCTCCGCCGTTCCCTCCTCTCCCCTCGTCCTGGCTCCCCCTTTAACCCGTCCTCGACAATCTCCCCCCTCCCCCGCCTCTCCCCCCCCCCACCCCTCGCGCCCTGCAGACCAGGAGGTGGCCGCCCAGACCCAGCAGCGCAAGGCGGAGAACACGGAGTACAAGGAGCTGCTTGCTTCGGATTCTGCGGCCAAGGAGCTGCTAAAGATCGCCAAGAACCGCCTCAACAAGTTCCTCGCTCGTCTCCTTCGCTCCGCTGTCCTCGCTCCTCCCTTCTCGTCCTCTTCCTCCGCCTGGCCCCTCGGCATTATCGCCGCCTCCTGGCCCTCTTCCCACCTTCCCCTCCCCATCTCCTATCTTTCTTCCTCCCCCCCTCACACTCTCCCCCTTCCCCCCCCACCCCTCCCTCTCATCCCTAATTCGCCTCCTCATCCTCACCCATATCCGTTGTGCTGCCGTTGGTCGTCGCATCGGTTGCCGTCGTCCCGTGCTCACAATCGGCACTATGCGTCACCCGTCCCACCTTGTCTGTTACGACGTATTGGTGATTGGCACCCTACGCACCACGATGCCTCCTTCCTGCCCATGCCTGCTCTTTTTCCTCGCTGCCCCTCACAACCCGCACTCATCCGCATCCTCACTGGTCTTCTTCATCGTTCCCAATTGTTCTGACAGTTCCTCACCACGTATCCTCGTCACTCCCCCTTCACGTCACCATCGTCCCGACAATCTTCATACGTATGTGCAGTCTTCCTGGTCTGTCTGCCACTTATGCTGCAACGTAGCCTCATTGATCCCCACCCTCATCGTCATTCGTGCTCGTCACTTCCACATAGGTCTCTTCTCATCCTCATACCCGCCATCCCCCACACAGGCACACGCACACGCACACACGTGCCCCCCTCGCTTCCGGGTCCCGATCGCCACCTCGCGTCGCTAGCAGTAGAGTGCCGGCGTGCACACGTTCGTCAACGTACAGGTTAATCTGTCAACATGGTTGCATCTACGCATACATTCACACTTGCATAGGCTATGTATGTAAACGTATAGGTAATGTATATGTGTATACGTGCGTACTTACATCGGTTGTTCGTTGTTGTGTGTGGTTGCAGTATTCGCTGTCTCTCTATATATCGCTCTCTCTCTCTCTCTCTATATGTGCCCCTCTAGTTCTTTCTGTATTTGGATAGACATGCATGTATATACCCACAGATGTATAGATATGTGTATCCCACTGCAGTCAAGCCTGTGACAGGCATGTGTATATAAAATATGTACATCGATAGGGTGACACGCGTATACAAAGAACGATGTATACACATGGCATACAGACGATGCGTACAACAATCCTTTATGAGTTCGCACACGCCTACTATGTGTGCGCACGTTTGTCTACATATGAGTGCAGGATGTTGAAGGTTCGCTCCTCTTCGCCTTAAAGATTTGCCCACACATCGCCGATGGGAAGTGAAGGACCCAAGAGAACTCGAGAGCAGGAAAGTTTGGAGGATTTCGGCGCGGGGCGGACGGGGAAGTAGGGAATAGACGGACCCCTGTCACAACATTTTGCGTCGCTACCCCTCAGGGGGCCTATTTGAAAGAATGCGCAGGAACCGCCGCTGCGAGACAGAATCCGTAACAGGAGCGGCTGCGGGTACATCTGCCAGCAGCAGCTTTGACTTTGTACGATGAGACGGATATGGAAGTGGGCGGGGGATCAAGGATGAAGTGAGGAGGGTTTCTCATCCTCCTCCTCATCCTCCTCATCCCCCTCTTCCTCCTCCCCCTCCTCCTCCTCATCCTCCTCCTCCTCCCAGCGCTCCGTTTGCTCATCCTCCCGGTGCTCCATGTGTTTTTCTTCTTCCCCCCTTTTCTCCTCTTCCTCCGCCTGCGCGGGGCAGTCGCGCCGGTCTTTTGGAGTCGCTTTGAAGCCCACTCAACCCATCGCGGTCCATTCGAAGCCTCTCGGCGCCACGTTAAAACCATCTCGGGCTATTCGGGTTCTCGTGGAGTCGTCTCGGAACTTCTTCGTCCAGCTGTTTTTTATGCCGATTGCCGGAGCCTTCAGGGTTCCCTGGAAGCCTTCTTGTGCCGTGTTGGATTCCTTCGGAAGGTCTCATTTGGTTTGAACCGATATTGGCCTCTCTGGGCCTGGGTCTCTTGGGGCCCTCCAGGGGTGTGATTTCTTTTTGGGCCTCCATCGGGCTCTTTCTGTGACGTCTTGGGGCGATATTGGGATCTTGACAGTTGCGAAGCCCGAACAGGCGATCACACTGGCTATTTTCGGCATCAGCATGTTGTTCAATGATTTGGGCCTCCTGGGCGCGCACGTTTTCGGAATCTGCTGGGGGGCCCATTGAGAAGAGGCGGGGGCATTTGGGGCCGTCTCGACGCGTGACCTGCGTTTTGGCTCAAGTTGGCTCAAGTGTTGGCTCAGGCATACTCCAGCTACTGAACACAGCAAGCTCCAGCGACTTATTCTGTTATCCCTATCCCATTTCTCATTATCATATATCTCTCAATGTGGGGAAATTGAAGCTGGAATATACAATGGCAGGCCGTGCGAATACCAGAATGCCAGGCACACCAGTGGGCACAGAGCGGGATGTCCACCAGCGCCTTTTCAAGCCTGTTGCAGGAAATGGATGGCGCGGAGGTTGTTGAGCAGCACAGCATCGGGATTTGTCTTGAAGCTTCCCGGGCGGGAACCTTTCACGATCGAGGGCATCGCATCTTTGATTGACAACAAATTCGAGCAACACCTTCACCCAGTTGTTCAAAACCTACGTGCCGTACAAGCTGATGTAGGTAGGGCCGATACTAGACTTACCAGCTTGAGCAAACCGGTGTGTGATATCAGCTCGGATGCCGGAAGAATGATCAAAGAATTGCAACAGCAAGTGGAACAGATGAGTGCGGATTTCGAGGTACGGTTTAAATCATCTTGGTCGGATGTCTCCACACCGCGCAAGCATGGCGAGGACTTGACGGCAGCGCTTGGGGGATTCAAAGATGCAAAATCAAAAGGGGGGTTGATGCTGGGTTGACCCAGGCGCTGGGGACTGTTGGCGCAGCACTCCCG